ACACAAGTATCATCAATGAAACTAGTCAAACTGATAGCATCACACCAAAGCTTAAAAAAAGTAAAGAAAATAAGTTACCATTAAAGAACGTCAAAAGTTTAGATGTTGACTTAGATAATAAACAAGTCCAGAATATTCCATCTAGAAAAAATTCTTCAAGTTCACAAATTTCGGTCAATATGAGTTTGCAAAATCCAACTAATTTGTCATCATTTCTTTCAACATCAACAACAGCATCGGGGAATTTAAAAAATGTCAAAATGATCCCTGCACCTCCCTCAAGTGAGGCAGCACCATTTTCATCACTTTTACGAAATCATTATCCAGACAGTGGAAACAATTTATCTCCTCAAAATTTGATGGCAAATTATCATCCTTTAAAGAGTTTAGTTGTTGAAAACAATTTCAATTCACCTGAAAAGGAGCTTTTAAAAGGTTCTTCCATTCCTATTGTTTGTCCATTTGAGACAAATCTTAAAGAACTGGCTGATAATTTTCATAATATGGATCATTTAAATAATAAATATCAATCAAAAGAATTAAAGCAAATAAATCAGCAATGTCCAAAAACTTCTTTAACTCCACAAGATTTCACAGATAATCACATGCCTAATGTTATGTCGACACCTGCTTTAACATTATATTCTAAACAAAAGGATAAACAGGAAATGTATTTTATTAACCAATATTCAAATAAAAAACTTGACAACAAGCGGTTATGTTCTCAAATCAATGTTGTTCAATCAGAATCTAATCTTGTAAAAAATGAAAGAAATAATAAAAACAATGACGTTACTCAGAAAAAACTTGAATATGATTTTGATCAAAAAGTTTATGATTCAAAGCTAGGAGTAACATATTATAAAGGAAAACTATTAGGCAAGGTTTGTATATTTTTTATTACAATTTCTTTGTTTAAACTAATTATTTGGTATGACTGTGGTCAAATACAGATACTTGTAAATTTGATGAGTTATATTCTAATTTAAAAAAAAAGGTTTTGGTTTGTTGAAGAGCAGTTGGTAAATTTTCTGTTTCTTGCTTTGTTTTGTCATATAGGACTGGTTGTTCTGTTACTGATTGTTCATTTTTGAGGAATTCAATGTACTTTTGTTTTTAGTTTGTACTACTGTACTAGTCTTTTAATTCTAGGTGATTTTGATGTACATTTAATTGTTCTGTGGTTCTTCTGCTGTTAAACTTCTTGTTTTGGTTACTACTTATATAATCCTTCTTAATTAGTAAGTTCTGCTCATACTTGTGGCAATATTTTGAACCTTGTTCAAGCTAATTTGAATCTTTTGTTGATTTTTGTTTTTGTTCATTCTATCTATTTATCTGATCATTCATTGGTTGAAGTTATTTTT